TGTCATTAATAACATGAAATGTATCTTCGTCGCACTCGTTACCATCTTTTACTCAATTCCTACTGGTTTTGTGTATTGGAACGCGAAGCCAGTAAAAATGGACAGAAACTTTGTGAATTTCTCATTTCACAATTGAGTAAAATTAAGGATTAGAATTAGTTTTTATAACAGTTTCATGCTTTGATTCTATTGAAAAAATAATTGTTTGATATTTTCTATTTTACATTTAAACGGGCATTTTGCTTACTTAGTAAGCTTATCTTACTGATAAATTTCATTTACCATACAAAGAGCTTCCGTGCTTTTTTACTTACTATAGCATATAGTAAACAAAATTCGACCAAAATTATACCAAAAATAACGAATGCAACATTGGAAATGATCGAAATTTGACATATGTGACACGTGAAACAAAATGTTCATGAATTTCACGCAATGAAATTTGCTGCATTTCTTCAGCTTGACACGCATACATATGCAATGTTATGTTTACGTTTACCTTTTAATACTGAATACTCTTAATTTCTGTGCTCTGCACTACTACACACAAGCATTTTGTACGTTTACACAAAACAAAACAAATTTCACGCTCATGACAGTTCATGATAGTGTAAACTGAACTGACAGTTCATGTTGTCGTCAAGCTCATCTCACGTCTATGATAGTGAAAATTGGCCCAACAGATTAGAGTTGTTTTTTAACATTTGTTTTTTCAATAAATTATGTAATTAATATATGAAAATATAAAAATAAGTTTATTTATCAAATATATATTTCAAATCATTACAAAATATCATATATAATAATATATGATATTATATATATTTAAAAATATTTATTTCGGGTTAACATCAGAAAAGTAATAATTAAGATCTCACAAGTTTGATTTATAAATTTAAAATTGTGTTTACTGTAAAATAAAAAAAAATCACCCGGAATGCGTTTGGGACCGTAGAACTATGGGGGCAAAATCTTATTCGATAAAGAAGGTGAAACAGGTTTTATGGTAACTGCGTCCGTAATACAAACGAAAGTGCACTTCATCCAATATTTTAGGTAAGTGAGCAATAAGTGCATTTTCTATTAAGTCGTTACATTTCTGTAATTAAAACCACATAATCTTTTACGATTAATATTAGATGTTTTATTTAATAATTAATGTAGTATAATGAATAATTATTATTGAATTATTGAATTTAGTATTATGTTAACTACTTTTATAACAGAAAGAATCAGCAATGTATTGTAGTTTTCAACTGAGACCCTGTCATCGTTATCAATAACGTATATCGAATTTTAGAGAACTTTTCTATTGACAACACCTTCGTATTAATTTCTGATCGCCCTCTTCGTCGTTACTGCCAGCGTCGTCAACATCTTTGAAGTCAAAAGAGAACACACCTACAAAGAAATGAAAAATTAATAATAACCAAATATATATTTTTATTTTTAATAAATTATAAATAATTAAAACTAAAAATGGAATAATATAACTTTTTTGTAATTTAATAATTGTAGATGAAAAATATATAAGTATATATTTTTTGTTGTTTTTATTTTTAATTTATAAGTTATTAGTGTTATTATTAGCTATTAGTTAAAATAAAACTTACTGAAAATTTGAACTAAACATCGCCTTATATCTTTTCTTATGGATTGTGGTTATTTAATCTTCAAACTTGTTTTTAACCCCTCTATTGTCTTTTCAGAACCAACATACAGATTTCATTCTTATTTAAAATAGCAACTCAGTAAAATTTTATTCTTTATTTAATAATATTTACTGCCCATACTTACTAGAAGTCCAGCACTTAATTTGGTTTCTAATAATCATTGAAGAAAGCATTCTTATTTGTTGATTTTGAATAATTTGAATTTCTTTATTAACCATTGCATTTGTTTTTGTATATGCACTAACTGTGGCATTTATATTGTAAACAATAGCTATATATATAAATACTAGATAACCCGACAAACGTTGTTTTGCCTTATAAATTATTTCTAGTTTCTTGGTAAATTCTAGTGTAGACAAAAAGTAACTTACTTATTATAAGTGTGTAAGTATGTGGTATATGCATGGAGCGTTATGAACGAAAAGGAAAATAAAAATAACAAACGCCAAACTTTATGGACATACTTATATATTTGATGCTCTTCACAGAACTGCAAAACTCAACATTTATATGAGCATTGTATGTCTTGCTTAGCAGAGGCGAATATGGAACCACCCGCCATTGTCCCCCATTATTGGGATTTATTCGACGATATATTGGATATCCGACGGTATTTGTTATAGTATCATTAGTGAAATCTTTAGAAAAATTTTTAGTACATTTTCCATCAGCCATGCAAGACGAAGACGAAGAAACGAAGTGTATGTAATGCTCGATGTATTTGTTGGCGTAGTTACATAATATATTAAAAAAAAAAATTTTTTTTTTCAAAAATATAAACAAAATTTATGTCAAAAATATAAAAAATTTTTTGTTAAAGCAATAAGGATATTTTTGCTGGGTAGGGACTCCCTAATCACTTTAGCGGTATGAAAAATAGATAGCAGCCAATTGTCAGACCTACTGAATACGCATATAAAATTTGGTAAAAATCGGTAAAGCCGTTTCGGAGGAGTACGGTAACTAACATTGTGACATGGAAATTTTATATATAAGACCGCAAACAGACATCGTTTGGCCTTGTGACTTATTGATGGTCTTTGCAAATGCCAATCTAATAGGAAATTGAACGCGTTTGAATTAAATTGGCTTGTCTGTGAGAATCATTGGAATTCGTGGCAATAAAACTTTTTCGTTTCGGAACTTGCCATTCAAAATGGTGGCTTCGATAATGTTTTTCATCAATTTTTTAATTACCAATCGCGTACTATTGCATAGCCGTGGTGGGTTCAAATTCCGAAGTAAAATAATCGGTGATCCAACTTTCAGTCGTAAAATGTGTGGTGGCATGCTTGGCAAATCCAGTGAGTTTAAAAACTCTGCTGGATAGTTTACAACTTCGTTGGTATCACAAACTGTATCGATCGATTTGTATGATATTAAGTCGCCCGGCAATGTCTGTTTTATCTTGAAGTTTAATTCATCAACGTCCATGTTTTTTGCTGCTAATGGCTCTTTCTGCCAGCCACCCATGATTTATGTATTGTATGTGTACATCTGGAAATACGCGGTCAAAGAGAGCATTTTGGGAATCAACGATAGTGCAGAAATTAGGGGCAGTTTTATGAATTCAGTATTTTCATAGACAACAACTTTTCATATCATAGCAAGTTTTCTTTTTCAAAAATATAAAAAAATTTATGTCAAAAAAATAAAAAAATTTTTGTTAAAGCAATAAAGATATTTTTGCTGGATAGGGACACCCTAATCACTTTAGCAGTATGAAAAATAGATAGTAGCCGATTCTCAGACCTACTGAATACGCATATAAAATTTGGTAAAGATCGGTAAAGCCGTTTCGGAGGAGTACGGTAACTAACATTTTGACAATGTTAATTTTATATATAAGATATAATATTTTTTCTAAAAATACAAAATTTAATGTCATCTGTTTACAATTAAAATGTAAACACAGAAATGATCTAAAACTAGAACTTTTTGACACATAAAAGTTTTTTTCCAAGCCTTAAGTAACTCATGATAATGTATAAGCAAAAAGCTCAATGTTACTATATAACTTACTAAGTAAGCAGTGGAAATAAAAAATTAATATACAATTTGTGAAAATCTTTATCACTTCAATCTACAGAATTAGAATTCATCAAGTGTAATAACCATCAAAAATTAATCCATCAAATAAATCCTCAAATATTACTCAAGTGTGTCATGGACCAATAAAAACACAATTAATATTTTGCTTATTTAGAAATTGCACAAAGTCTTGTTCTTCTCAATACATATTGACGTTGCATTTTTGTAATTCAGTAGAGAACCAAGACAGCAACACCAACTTCTTATAAGACCACCTTAAATACTTATAAAATCAATTTACATTATAATTTTTGATGTTTACTTCATTCATATAAATTATTTATATTCATGCAGTTATTATTAAATTTATTAATAACACACCGCAAAATTGGTCTAATAAAATTTATATTTAAAAATTGGTCTAACTTCACTAAATGCCCAATGCAACACTGATCCAAACAGCTGTATATGTGACTCCATCTTCAAGTTGTGTCAGTGCTACAAGCAAGCGGTAAAGGCAGTGTTGAAGTAGTTTACAATTTTGTGTTTTTAAAGAATTAAATCGCTATTAATTATGGAAAATAGCGATGAGGATGATACGTCAAGCGACTCAGTCGATGAATCAGGAAGCGATATTGAAGACATAGAGGAAAATGCTTGGACAGATAATACTACAGTATTTGATAGTCAATTTGACACAGAAACTATAAAAATTGACTGCGAACAACTCGTTAAAAACTTACATTGCTTAATCAAAGAATTGCCAAATATGGAATGTGGTTCTACTGTGAAAGATGCTTTGAAACTAAATGAAATCTTAATAGAGCAATTGGAAAATTTCAAAAAACTATTTACGTTGCAATTAAAGAGAGTTCGGTCGCGTTTCAAACTGAATGCAGCATTGATAGAAGTAAAAAAGAGAAGAACATGCAATACGGTCTCTAAACGAAGTACATTATTGAAGGCTTCCACACATTATCTGGACGGCAACACGTTTTTTAAGGATATTTCTGGGCATGGAGCTCCAAATAATGCTGATTACATCCAACGTAAAAAAGAAGGAGAATTTTTTCCCATGGATTTAGGGTTGGTTAGCAGTCATTATTGGACTGACAAAGACAAAAAATCTCTTGTTTGTGGTATAAAAGAACAGGTAACTTATTGATCATGTGAATAACTTTTTCCAATTGAACTTACAACTTGTATTTCAGTTAGTAAATAGATTAATAGAAAAGAAATTAATAAATGTAAGATGGGAAAGTAAGGAAGATTATTTGTGCTCTTCTAAATTAAAAGATTTATTAGATAAAGTGGATGCTAAATTCTCAATGGATTGGTTTCAAATTTCTGCTGGGGATCTCAAACATAGACATTCTGAAACATCGTGTGAGGCAATATGGAATGTTTTACTACATCCGTCACTTAAACATTCAAAGTGGTCTGGAGAGGAAAATAATCGCCTTATAACAGCTGTACAAAAGTACAATTTTCAAAATTGGGAAGCTATTGGAAATGAAGTAGGCGGTCGTTCTGACTATCAGTGTTTTATACAATACAGGAATAATGCCTGCTATAACTTACCAAATCGTTTTAAAAAATGGGATAAAAATGATGATGCTAAATTAATTGAATTAGTAAATAAAAATACCACCAATAATGTTACTGATTGGACAGTAGTAACATCGTATTTTAGGTTCAAACCTAAAGGTGACGTTATAGCGCGTTACACCACCAGACTAAAGCCCAACATAAATCATGGTAAGTACAAAAACATTTTTTAAAATAATATAACATATAAATACGTTTTTAGACTCATTTTCACCAGAGGAAGATCTCCTACTTATTGGTCTTGTTAAAAAGTATGGAGAAAAATTTAATACTATACCACGTCAAATGTTTCCCGATCGCACTATTCTACAACTACGTAATCGTTACTTAAATACCCTGAAGCATCGTCATACAAATACAACGTGGACGTACGAAGATGACAGGAAATTAGTGGAGTTCGTTTCGGAACATGGTCCATCGAGTTGGTTGCAATGTGCTAAATTGCTAGGCAACCATACACGTACTAGTTGTCGTACTCGTTATTTAACAATTAAAAAATTTTATGCAAAAAATCCAAATGCAAGTCTTCAAGACATACCACGGCATAGGGTTTTGAAAAGTGACAATTTGATTAGAACGGATACGTTTGAAACTCAACTTAAATTAGTAGAAACTGATCAAACCAATGTATTAAAATATCAGTCACTTGTAACTAAGAAGAAACGAGAAAAATCGGCAAGAATTTCAAAGAGAGACAAAGAAAAACGTTTATCTGAAACCTTGCAGTCATTGGAATCAGAAATGCATGAGCGTTTTAGGTTTGGTCATGACTACAGCGTATTCAGTACTTATTATACAAAATGGCCTTCAAGTATTTTAGCTAAAAATATTATGGCGAATACTTTAAAAATACCTACTCCAACACTTGTAGACCATGTACTGCTATCTCGCATTCCAGTTTGTTTTCAAGAAACAGTAGCAGAGGACATGCAAATATCCAACAAATATTTAGACTGTTTGCCACCTAATTATTCATCAACAATTGGATATAGAGCACTATGTTTGTTAGGAGATATCTCTAAAACGAAAATTGAAAAAAACGTGTATCAAAGTGCGGCTGTGAAACTCTTTGAAGAACGACTAAAGTTAACATTTTTTAGTGTTGCTATAACTTGTACTTTGAATCCCACAGAACTAAACGCAAAACCACTTTGTTTAATGAGTGAAGATGATCCATATGAAAATAATGAAGAAAAAATCGTTTATTGCGATAGATATTATATAATACCAACAGATAAGGTCGAACCACAAAAACAAAATAATGAGGTCAAGAGTAACGCAAGTGTTATTATAAATAATGATGATTGTTCCAGCTTAGCTCTTGAGGCTGTTGAAGCTGATTCGGATGAAGAACCTATTTTGAAAAAAAAGAGATTTTCTTTGTAGAATATATATATAATACTACAATCCCTCCAAGAATTATATATATACATTTGGTTTTTTTTTTGCATTAATAATAAAAATTTAAATTTGAAAAAAATTATATACAATGAACTAAGAATAATTTTGTAATAATATTCAAATATAGCAAAATATCAATAATAAAAATGTAATTCTTGATTATAAAAGAATGTAATGCAAATTTCAATTTCTAAATTTAGTCGTAATATAATACCAGTTACTAAGCTAACATACTTAATGCACGCACTTGCACAGCTCCATCATTGCAGTTTGAAAAGATAAAAGTGCATCTAAAATTCTTCAAATATTCTAAGTTTGAAATTTTACTTCTTCTTTTTGCGACTTACGACTATAATTGTCAACTAAGAATTTCGTGGCTTGGGGTCTCTAAATGAACCCTCCAAGATTACTTATTATTAATAATTTCAAGTTGAATGCTTTTCACGTCAGCCAGAAAGCATATTGTGGGAGAGAAGTGGGCTATGCACTTTCTACATCTTCGTTAAAATATAGGGAACATATAGGGAAGTATTTTTGAATGCTTTTTTATAGTACATAAATCCATAAGTTAGTTCGTGATTAGTCAAAGTTCAAAAAAGTATTTAATATCTTGAAAATACCAGATATTCCGCTAATCCCCGCAAATGAGTATTAACCTGGTTGTAAGATCTGACCACCTACGAACGACTTTTAGAGATGAGATTAAGTGACTGCGATTGAACAGCTCAGTATATGCTAAATGCATCATTTTACATATCGAAATAGTATATAATAATTTTTTCGGTTATGAAACTAAATCGTTTTAATTTTTCATTATTTCACAAATATTTATATATGGAGTAATTTCCTACAATAACTAAAAAAAACAGGCGATGCAAGTTTTGTTGAATTAGCAGTTTATTTTGTTTTCATGACTAGGGACGCTTAATCTGCTAGTTCTACATGACATAAAAACAAAACCTAATTATCTATAATAATATACTCTATTACAGTTAAGGACATTTTAACCGTTACTATTGCAGTAATAAAGTCTCTATAAATATGTTGATTTCTTCTTACAACCATATATATAATATGTATATGTCATAATATAAAAGTTGTTTAATGTCTACATGTCTTCTCTTTTACTGATTTATGATATTTTGGATTTATGATATTTTAATTTAATACTTAAATAAAACGTAAATGTTTTAGAGTTGAGTGATTGCAAGATTTAAAAATGGTTTGATCAGATATTACTAAACGATGGAAAGTAGTCTGTCCTCAAAAAAATTTATCAAGAAACATTTGATGAGAGATCGAAATCGTTATCCAGAGGGACTATTGCCGGTATTTGCACATTATGTGTACCTTTACCTTTACTTATCCCATAAAGCTTAGATTTGAAATTGCGAAGTATATTTTTTTTCATAGTACGTTGACAATGTAGCTTTTTGTATTTAAGTTGAATATGTTGTAAATTAAGCAATAAATATCAAACATAGTAATAAGCTAAATTATTCAGCCTAGGTTAGATTTTACTTAGACTATTTAATGGCGTAATGGTATACCTATAAACGTATAAATCCCTTCTTTTGAAAATCATTTTGATTATTTCCTATACTTTACTACTCATCTTTTGGAGTGTTGTCAAGGGTGACAGCTGATGGTAAAGTCTTATAATTGTCTAAGAGTCCACAAAAAACACACAACAAAATTGTTATACACAATATACAAAAAATCCTTTTGCATTATACATTGCTGGAGGACAAATGTCAAATATATGAAATGGGTGAATTTGTCAATATAACAATAAAAAACATTTGCAGAAAATTATTTTGTCGTTTTGACAAATTGAAGTCAAAATAATAAAAGCATACAATTTTTCGTATTTTCTTCAACAAATTGTTAGCAAATTTGCCAGAATCATTTGCGCTCACTTAAGGTTTTCCGATTACATCAGTCAATACGTCAAAATTATTTTCCTACCGACCAAAATCCTTGCCAAAATATGATAAATATCGCGGTTTTTCATGATTTGATACTTTTCTTCACAAAGGATTCAATGTGTACAAAAATTTTCTTATTATTCTAGAATGAAGCAAAAAATATTGTGTTTTACCACATCTTGCTGTTTAAAGAAAGGATATAAAATATTATAATCCTTTATGAAAGAATTTGTAAGTAAAAAGTGTTGTATGATTGAGTGATCAGGATTTATGATAAGCCATTGACATCAAATTTCAGCAAAAGAAATCGCTGAATACAGCAGCGTGGCTATTGCTATTGCTAACTAATGTAAGAAAAACATATTGTTTTCCTTTAAAATTATTTTTAATACTAAAGCTATTTAAAATAGGTTTTAAACATTAACACTTTAAACATTTTATTATTTGAAGAGCTGTAACACATAAGTAAATTGAAACCTTTGGCTAATCATTTATTACTTTTAATCAGAAGCGGTGTTTTCTACCAAAGGTTATTTCTTAAATAAATATACTTAATAAAGAGGTTTTTTCGAACAGTAGTGAAATACAATAACAAAAATTTATTTTTTATATTATTTTAATTAATTGAATTTTTGGCTGACCATACAGCTGTTTCGAGTATTGCCAAATACCCATCATCAGTGGTCTTGGAAATAATTCTTGTATTTAATTATTCGTAAATAATTATTTTTTTTGAGACTGCAAGTATCAGGAAGTACCAGAATAAATATACTTAAGAAATCTTAAATGAAGTATAAATTTTCCATTTTGTGCTAAATTTGTATAAAAAAGTTACAGTTATAAAAAACCTATCAATCAACTTCGGATTCATTTCTTGCCACAACAGATCAATAGAATTAGTTTTGCTTCCTTCATATTCAACGAAGTCTAGAGTTGCCTTAAACACTTAAAGTAAAATAACTCAAAGTCGTTATACTTAACTTTTCCTAATGCATTTGAAGGAATTTCAGGATAATAAACAGGAAAATTGGCAAAAATATTTTTGACACTTCCCTGTCAAAAATAAATCAAAATAAAAAGAAATTTTCGTGTAAGTTCCTACACTACAAGAACATTCAGAATATACCAGTAATACCAGAAAAACAAAACCTAGCATTAATGTACTTATACGTGCGCAGATGCATAAAGGATATAGGGATTTTTGTTTAATGTTTGTTTAACTTATGAATATTGGAGTAGAATTATATTAAAATTTAAACAGGCATTCACTCATATTACAAGTACAATATTTTTCATTATTCGAAAAATGTACTGAAAAATATGTTTCACAAGTAATTTGTATTTTAATGCCTCATTTAATTTTTAATAGATACAAGTATTTCATAATAAAATCCATATGATTTTAACCGACAATGAAAAATTAAAATAATTTAAGGAAAATACTAACTCTGATTAAATGTAAATAATTTGCACAATTCATTTGAAGTTTGGTTAAGTAATTAGATTTTCCATTTGATTTGCAGAAAGCAAATACAATTTTAATTAAAACTTTCATATTCTAATAAAATCATAATTTTCTTTTGAATTGCAGATAAAAAGTTTGTTATTGTTATATCGTCAAGAAGATTGTAAAATATTTTAATGGGATGAAATTAATTGAAGTTATGTTAAAGGAAATAAAAAAAATTAAATTGTTTTAAATCAAATTTTAAAAGTAAATACTTTCTTTTCTTCTTGTTCTTGAGTTAGTCCTATTACGTACTTTTACTCTATAATGGCTGGGGGGCTTATCACTACCCCACACTAGGCTTTAACTAGGCTAAGAAATCATATCATTTATTTGTCTTTTACTTGATGACGGACCTTAAATCAGCATATCTTCCTGAGAATCCAGAAGTGGACTTGAGGATTGCTAGGGCGGGGTTAAGTAGCGTATCAACTTTAGTGAATAATTTTAGAGCTCTGTCTCTGATATATTTTTTTTCACTGAGTCAATCCTAAGATCTCTATATATGTCTGTTGATATACCATGGAATCTTAAACAGTCTTCTTAAAGCCAGGTATTGAGCTATCTGTAATTGCTTTAAGGTAGTATTTGAGGCTTTGCTATATGTAACACATGCTATATGTAACACTTTCTGCTTTTAAAGTTGAAGTGATAATTATTAAATAGCGGCTTTAATAAATGTAGAATCTAAGAGCAGCTATTTCGTTTGTATTTCAAATGTTTAACCGTTTGACAAAAGTGACCCCCAGATATTTTATGCTATCCTCCCACCGTATCTCCGTGTCACAAACGCTCTTGGAGGATGCTGTGTTCTTTTTCGAGTTATAAATATAACCTTGGTTTTGTCATTATTAATTTTAACTTCCATTTTTGGAAGTATTCCACCATAAGGTCTATATTTCCTTGTAAAGTGTTGGTTACATTTATGGCATCCCGATCTGAGTAGAGTAAATACTTTCAAACTATTATAGCATAATATGCTTGTTTTAAATATAATAAATGCACAAAGTTTTAAAATCATCAAATTAAGAAACTACTTTTCAAACAATTTCATTATAGCGCTAATATCTTGCAAAACTGTCATATCAATCTATAAAGATTTCAAAAAAACATTTCCAACAAATTTTAAAATAAATTAAAAAAACTTAATGCACATATCTCACTACAAACACTACTTACGGAAAGGGAAAGAGGATGCAAGTACCTTTACCTTCTGTACCTTTAAGCAAAAGTTTTAGTAGTTAGTAAGTTTTTCGAAAACTACTCCATCAATAAATATCTTGCACACAAGTGCATTACCAAAGTCTAGTAGGAATTAACTACATAAAATTCAACGTAAAATGAAAGAAGTTAAAAAGTTATTAACGTAGTATTTCAAAAAAAATATTTTTCAGTTATCAGAATACAATTACAAACTTTAATAAGATACTTTTTATATGAGCTAAAATTGTTCGTAAGTTATCATACAAAGTGGAACATTTTGCAATATCATAATGTTATACGATAGCTTATTGTAAAAATATTGACTATTTGATGAAATTCAGTAAACACTAATGGAAAATTTTAATTTC